AAATTGTTTGATTCAGATCGCACCACCACGAGTTACTTCATTTTTTATTATATAATTATAGAATTATATAGTAAAAAAATATTTAGATATCTCGTGGCCCTGTGATCCAAATCAAACAATTTTTATACCATTCAATTCTTCTCACTGAGAGGAATCGATTGGTATAAAAATTGTTTGATTTGAACCATGAGGTCACAAGATATTCCCAATTCGTCAAATTACCCCTATGATCCAATTTTTTTTAAAAAAAATATATTTTATACGAATCAAGATATCTTGTGATCCCATAATCCAAATCGCATGATTTTTATACCGTTTGATTCTACTCATTGAGAAGAATCGAACAGTATAAAAATTATGTAATTTGGATCACGCAATAACAAGCTATGTGCCAATAAAGATAACTTCATCAAATTACCCCTATCTACCTTATATAAATAAGAAAAAATAGATAAGACTGTTTTAAAAGTTTTATCTATTAATCAGAATAGAGCTTTTGATAGATGCTTAATATTTTTTTTAGCAGAAAAAATAAGAAGTCTGTATTAGTCAAGTATATGATTTTTAATTAGAAAAAGATCTCTGGCCAAAGTATTACATAGTATAGATAATATAACAATATCTGATACATTTGCTGATTCAAATTGTAGTAAATTTTTATCTTTCTTAATATGATAGATCATTTTACAAATAGAATTAAAACATGGCATATATAGTTATATTTTAGAAAAATTTGTTATATTATCTTGAACTAATTGTATAGACTTTTCTCAACTTTCTGAAACATGTTTCTTGATACTAGCAATGGCTGTGGTAACTTCAAAGTCACTTGCTTAGAGAGCATAATTATACACTTTATAACTTTGTAAATAGTAAAAACTATCTTTTAAAATTGTAACTACATAGCCTTTGCAACCTTTGGTTTTACATTTGTTATAATATCAATAAAATTTGTTATCCTAGTTCTGTTTTTTTACTAAAAGATATCTATTGACTTTAATTTTATTATTTCTTTTTTAGGATAGTATGATTTACAAATATTATTCTTTTTTAATGTTTTTATTTTTAAATATTACAGATATAATAGATAGAGTATAGTAATAAAAATATAACAAATAGAATATATATAAGAATAAAAGTATAACAAAAAATTGGTAAAAGTTTAATAGAACAGTTAATTAAATAAAAATATATTTCATTTATTTAAGTTATATACTATATACATATATATGTATTATATTCGTAAATAATTAATCATAATTTAATATATTTAACTATTTTATCAGAACTTATTAAATGATTAATTAACTAACAAAAATTAGTAAAGGTGGCAGAATACTTTTTGATATATATATACATAAAAATAATATGTGATGTAGATTAATATAATATTAATTTGTGATTTGCTAATCAGCAATATAAAATACTTGATATAATGCAGAATAAAATTTTGCCGATTACTAATTGATTTTAAAAAATTGTAAAATTAACTATTAGATAACACAAATCTATACATGATTTTTAGCACGTACTTCTTTTTTGTAAATAAACGTCATAACTATATGTCTCAATTAAAATAGTTTTCAATAACTTTATTTTTCGTTTCAAAAGTTTTAGTAGCAGATAATGTCAGACTGTTGTCTCTAAAATATAGATTCTTTTTATAATTTCGACTTGTACAATTTTAATTTTTTTAAATTTAAAATCTAGTTTAGCAATAATAATAAACTATTGCTATACTAATTAGAATATAAAACTCTAAACCAATCAGTAATCGTTTAGACCATTTTATAGTCTGTATTTATTGCAAATTTTTAATATTTATTATTATTTTATATATATAAAATCAAACTCTTAATATAAACTTTTTATTCTTCTAGAAATCATTCTGCATGTTCCTTTTTCAACAAATTTAAAAATCTAGTAATCCAGCTTTTAATTGTTTTTAAAAAAAGGATTACTTTATATGAAAGTTTACTGTTTTCTGCTATTTCATTCAATCTATCTAGCATATCTTTTGCAGAATATTGATTGCTAGAATCATGTTGTCCTATTATAAAAAAACAGGTCAATATAGCTATTACTTCTTTTGCTAGTCTTTTTCTACTACCTTTTTTGCCATATTTTTAATTGTATTTAAGTGTCTATCCAAGAAATAGATAAAATATCTGATTTCTATTATATTTTTAGAAATTAATCAATTATCAATTACTTTATATAAAAAAAATTGCAATTCATATTGTACAATTTTATTTTTAGAATTTTGACCAAATAACCAAATTTTATTTACTTATCTATGTTTATTATTAAGAATTCCTTATTTGATTCATTATCAAGATATGTCTCTTCTCCTATTTCTCATTTTAATAAATTTACCAATTTATCTTGTCCTAAAGCAGTATCGAAATTAATATTTCTTCAGTTCAACTTATTCTTTAATTTGGTGACAAACCATTTTCTTAGATTCTAATAGTTAGTATTTGATACTACCAAATAGAAATCAATAAATAAAACTACATATATAATTCTAATAACTAAAATATTATTGAAAAATAAGCTTGCCTGAAGCCCGATAAATTGGCATTGTTCATTTTGAAGAAACTTCTAAATGTTCGCCTACTGTTGGTTCAGATTGTACAAGTTCTGTTTTAGTAATTTACTCATAGAAAATTTTTTATTTCTCTAAAACCAGGAAGATTACATATACAAACATATCTGGCTAGTGAACCCTCTATTGGCCAAGACCATTCAAACCAATTAGAGATTCTAGGTATAGTTTTGATACTGCTTTGATTTTTTTGATTACGATTGGATTTCAAATAAGATGTTGATGTACCACTTAAGTTGCCTAATGCTTTTTCAATATTTTTGCCAGTAGTTAAATCAAATCCTAAATAAACATATCTCTTAATAGTATATGATATCTAAAATTGATTAAATTAAGCGAATTGAGAATTGTCTAAGTAAACAAAATATCTTAAAAAACAATGTATATAAATACTTGTACATGATGATTATCAATTAATATTTTAGCTTCTCTCGTTTTCAGAAAACACTATTTTTTACACTCAATGTTATATCATTCTGTCTATTTAAAAACCAGCCTATTATTTCAGAACAATAATAATATGGACTATTATTACTTATTATGATAACTCATTTTGGCTTTGGATTAAATAAAGTAAATATTGCATCAAAAGATAAGGCTGTAAACTATGCATCCTGTCTATTATCATTTGACCAATGATCAAAGACTTGAATTTCTAACTTATTATTCTTTTGATTTTTAGAATATACCAAAACAGTGTGTAATGCCTAATCATGTTTCATATAAAAATCTTGTTTTGTTTCTCAAACTCATTTTGGAAATATTTGCATTTTGTAATCTACTAGTATAAGAGCTCTATCATTATTAAGTTGTAAAATATTGGTATTAAATTAACTGTTCAAATATCTTTTTCTAGTTAAATATGCAAGATAATATTCTAGCATTTTCTGAAGTTCTTTCAATATCTCTTGTTGTTCATCTCTAAGCAATAATTGCAATTCTTCAAATAAATTGAATATTTTAT